CAGAGAGCAGACTGTCTCTGTAGTACTATATGGCAGTGTCACCATCTAGACACCTTCTAGTCCCTTTGCGACTCAGGAGAGAGTTTGGGTCTATGATGGCTAGGTTCCAGTGGCTTTGAGAAGTTAAAAATCCCAGGGCATCAAAGCTGGAAGCCATTTAATGACTATCGAGCCTAGTGGCCTTCAAACTACATTCTTTAGAGCCCTAGGAGCCTTCTGAGAACTCAGTGGCCATCTTGAGGGCTGTGGGTAAGGAAGCCAAGTAGGCCTCCCACCTCCACCTAATTCAAAGCAGCTTTAGTTTTATCTACGTATTATATATTGGGCTTCACATAAGATTTCATTTGACAAGGGAGTCCTTGAGGAGGCTTCAAAAACACTGATCTTATGCAACAGTTCCATTGTTCACGTGGGGAAATAGAGGTGTAAAGAGGGGATGGGACCATCTCAGGGCCATACACCCCATTCCTAGTCCAGGGTCCTGATTGGGAAGTAACCCTGCCAAGGGCCCTGAGCCAGGCAAGGGTGGGATAGAGAGTAGCCCTGGGACCAGAAGTGGGTTAGCTCAGTAGCATGTGAATGAGAACAATCCTGAGCTCCTCAGGACTGACCGTAGCAGCCACCCATAGCCATAGGCTGACCTTGAACACCAGTGTATGGAGTCCTGCTCCCAATATTGCACCCAGAAACCTGGCCGCCATGGCCCTCAAAGCCCTTGATCCCCCTTCCCAGAACCAATAGGGGCCAGTGCACCCTCCAAGCACTTTCTGGAATGGGAGGAAGGACATCTCCATGCACTCTGAGGTGGTCTTGCCGAGGTGGTCTTGCCAAGGTGACCAAGCCCACAGAGATGAAGCAATCAGATGACCCATACTGGAGCAAGCCTGAGGTTAATGGCCACCACACACTGTCCTACAGGCTGGGTGGTCTGCATCAGACACACATGTCAGAAAGCAATCCTACATGGATAGTATTCAGGCCCATACTGCCGAGACAGCTTCCACTCACAAAGAACCAACGCTTTTCTCTCACAATGTTGCAATGCAAAGCTCCCTCCAGCCTCTTTCAGTACCTGCTGGAAGAACCCAAAATCCCAAGTCCTCTGCTGCTGAGTCCTAATGCTTCTCCCAAGGCATCCTGTGACACCAGAAAGAAGTGTCTCAGGGCTCCTCAGCCTGAAACAGGATGAGGTGGTGCATCAGTCCTAAGCCCTCTAGAACCTCAGATTTTCAGAACTGAGTCAGACCCTTCCTGGAAGCAGGCAGGGCACAATAGGTAATCCACACATGGAAGAATGAATGGCTCTTGGCACTAGAAGATACCACAAGCCATCCCATCACCTTCAGTTCCTCCATTTCACCCTTCCTGATAGCAACATCAAGTTTTCTTCAAGTCACTTCACTGTCTGGATCTGATGAGTGAAAGCACTTATCAGATGATGGCGAAAAGGTGTTGACAGTGTCTCCCAGATTTTTTTCTAGACCTTTTGATTGCTATTAGTCATTCTCAGACTTTGAAAATGTCCGAGCTCCTCATCTGCAATAGACCATGAGCTCTTTGAGAGCAAGGGACTGTGTCTTGGTCAATTCTAGAACACCTTCACCAAGGATGGGTCCTGGTAGCAGAGGAAGTGCCCAGTGAATGTAAATGAATGAACTCATCAGTATACCCTTGGGGTCGCCATGGGTGGGGAGATTCAATGAGTGGACTCTATGATCCCCTCATCCCTACCCATCCTCTGCTTTTATCCCTTTCACAAATGTTTGAGAACTACGCTGTAGATATCATAACCATTCTACAGTCAGTTAATGTCAATGTCATCCGCCTGGTTAGCTAATGAGCTGTAGGAGCTAACTTGAGAAAATAGCCACTCATTTTTAAAAGTTATTTTTTTCTCTGATCAGAAAAAAAAGTAAGTCAGCCTTCTTATTCCTCCTGTGGGAGGAGGAAAGGAAAGAGAAGAGGTGAGTGGGCCCCTGTTGTGTGCTCACAGGTCTTCAGCCTGGCCCCTGGAGTGATTGTTGAAGGTCGAGTACGTACCGGATGTTGGTGGGATGCTTCCATCCCTACCTACCAGATTCACTCTCCCCTGCTGATCACAAGCACCCCATCTTCCCTTGACATCCCCACCACCCCACCTGGGGGTTGTGAGGGCCATCAGAGCAACCTCAGATGAGATTGTGCTTAGGGATGGTGAATCTAGGCCTAGGGCTCAGAATAAAGCCCTCCCACCTTGCCCCAGGTATCCACCACTTCAGGGGTGAAGAGTCTTAGTAATGAATGGCAGTTGGGAGTTAGCAAGTTAGTCTGGAAATGGTGGGGTGTTAGAGGAAAGGCATTCCAGGTCCTCAGTCGCATATGTGTTAACTGCTACAAGTTCAGAATTTCAGAGTGAATGGAGCACAGAGGGAAGTGGGTGCAGGGAGAGGAGAGGCTAGAGAGGCTGGTGGGCCTTGTAAGTCAACTTAAAGAGCTTCCGCTTCATTTTAGGGTAACGGGGTGTTTGAATGGGGGATTGAGGTTGACCAGCTGTGTGTGTGGGAGGCTTGGAGCAGGATGTGAAGTAGCCCCTTCCGTCATATTCATGTGCTTCATGACCGTGCAGGAGGCCAGGTCCTGAGGGCCTCATTTCCTTATCTGTAAAATGCCATGACCTTTAGGGACTCTTCCCAATGAACATTCCTGGAGTCTCTAATTGATAAAAAGAGAATTGGAACCCTGATCCTCCATGCCTCCCCTGCACCAAAATCAAGTGAACAACCAAAGCAATTCAAGCTCCCTAAGGAGAGTGCTCTACCCCTTCCAAGATGCCTCCAGGCTGAGAGAAGGGTATTCAATGAGGAGGTCCTCCAGACTGAGCCCAGCAAGAGGACAGCTAGGCAGGGCATCCAGACCTTATAGTCAGACCCCTGCCTCTGGCTCCATCAGATTAAGGAACAGCTCTAAGAGGGAGGTGGCCATGTTCTGAATAGGGGGCTGGGAGCTCCAACATGGCCAGATTCAACTGTTCATCAACATGGCATGATACACAGGGAATATCAGGTGAACCCTTTAGAGGATGTGCTGGTCTTAGGTCAAGTCCTTGAATGCCCTGTGCCTTCTGAGAGATGCCTCCCTCCCCCAACCCAACAGTATGTGCAGCCCATAGGGCCACCCGACCCACCCAACCTGCAGAGACCAACTTCTTCCTTAGAGCCTGGCTTTCCTCCTGAGAGAAAACAGCAAGTGCCTTAAGGTGGACCCTTGAGACCAGAGTAGCCAGGGCCCAGGTTTACCTACCCAGCCACAGCAGACCAGAGGCCCAGAGCAGAATCGCGACACTGCCTGAAGGCAATAAAAACCCAAATCCATGCTTCATCTCAAAAGTCAGCTTTTTATTATTGGGGCCAGGGCCCAGGGAGGGGGAGGGTGTTGAGCTATCATTGCTCTTTCCAGGAAATGTTGTGAGCTGCAGTGAAAGCTCGAGATGTTGCATTTTTTTTTTTCAACTCAAGCATGTGTTTTTCAAAAATATCATCCTTTTCTCCCCCCCACCCAACCCCCCCACTAATTTTAGAATCAGACCAAAGCCAAGCTACTGTCCTCTGTTTCTGTTGGGAAAATACTATATTTATTCGAGATGCAGAAGTGTGTCTCTGCAAACCTCCGATTGCTTCAGGAAAACAAATCTGCTTTAGACTATACAGAAACCATGATACAAAATTTATTTCATGCTAGAGTCGCTTTGCATAACATTGGGCATGCAGTTTTTTACTCTGAAGTACTAAATTGCATACAATGCCAGGTTGTGTCTTAATAAAAGTGGAGGAGTTGCTCCTCCCATGGTCCTGATCTTTTGGTGCTCTACATCCTGGTTTTAAAGTAACACTTGGAAAATCCGTATGGTGTTGATTATTTATTATGAACAATTTGTTATGAAAGTTGGTCACACTGGATCTACGCACTGATAAGATGAGAGAATCGACCTAGACTGGCCGCTGTCAGGGGTCTTGGGGAGACGTCCGGTGGGTCACAAGCATGCCAAACAGAGAGGGAAGAAGGCGGCAGTGCGAGTTTCCACGATTCTATTTGGAGCAAAGTTCTCAGTTTCTGCATGAGAGATGAGCTACGAAGGTGAGGTCAATATGACCGATGACTGACCGACTGCCCTTTTTGGAACCTTTACTCTCGATCTTGTGTACAAAAAGGGAGACAACCCATTCTCCATCCCCGTTCTTCCTCCCCTTGCCCCCCACCCCCAGAAATGTACAGGTTTCTACCGAATGTCGTTACAGTTTGGCTCCAACAATGTGTGTAAAAGTAAAGAGTTTTGAAAGAAAATAAAGACTTTTGCTTTTTCTTTTCATTATTGTTGTTTAGGGTAATCATACAGTTGCAGGGGTTTGATGGGTTTGGCTTGCTGGGTTTTCTGTTGAACTTCATGCAAGTCATGCTAAGGAACCCCTCCACCCCCCCTCCCCAAATAAAATAAAATTTTAAAAAATGAAAAGAAGGAAAAGAAATCCTCTACGGTCAGTTACCATTTGGCCGTAGGAAAAGCTACGTCCGTCCTAGTACAATGCCTGGGCCACTCGGACTCGTCCGGCAAACCTGCATGGCGTGAATTTACTCTGTCCGAGGGTGAGGAGGGGCTGCAGGTCCACCCAGATGCTTAATAGCCACCAGTGTCCTCGGCCAAGCCGCCTGGTCAAGTCACTCTCACAGCCTCTGTCGGCATATACTTAGCAATGACAGGGCTTTCTTTGCAAAGATCTGTATGTAAAGAATACAATTAACACTTGAGCTTCTCTTCTTGGCTTTCCCATCCCGCTTGGTACTTAGTTCTTAAGGAAGGAGGAGGAAAGACAGTACAGCCACATGCAGAGGCAGGCAGATTCTTCTCCAGCTGGCTTGGATTTCCCATGCAGTGAGCCAGCCTAGCACGCCTCTTTCCCTCCTGGGGGAACGGGTTAAGTCCCTAATTCTTCTCCTACTCTGAACATGGATTCAAACACCTGCAGGGCTTATGGCTCAGAATTAGCCTGAGAAAAGCAAGTCCTTGGCGGTTGCCATGACTCCATGACTCCATGACAATGGGGGCCAGGTGGATGTGGGTGGGGAAACTTAACCCTTGGCACCTCTCAAACACTCCCGCACCTAAGCCCCTGTGGAACTGGGGAGTGGGTATCACCTCTAGACAGTGGTTGCTGCTGGGTTCCCTAGCCACTGCAGGGAGATGGGGCTGCTTCTGTCCCACACTCCCTGGGCTTCTGGAAGCACAGTAAAGAGACTCTCCTGTCTCTTCTTTTAGGCCACGCTGATAAATCCAACAATCAAGGAGACAGGCAGCCCATGAGACCTTACTAGGCAGGACACAGCCACTGGGAACGGTCTACCTGCTCTCCTTCTCACTCCCCAGGGCTGCCCCTGCTCCTGTGCATTCTAGAGCCTCCACCTGGGAAAAAAGCCAGTTGCAAAGGGGAGCATCAGGCCCATCCATGGAGGGTGCGAAGGATGGGGCCCTCCCCAAGGCCTCTGCCATGCAGAACCATGCAGGGTGCTACACCATGCTGGGGTCCGAGGGACCTCCAGGCAGGCCACAGAAGCAGGGCCCAGCCTAGACCAGGTGGGCACAATTAAGCACTAGTGACCAGAAGGACTTGCCCTCATCTCAGTGTAGGCTGCCTCTCCTGGGTTTACTTTTGATTTTGAATTCTGTTTTCTCCTTGTGTATGGTTTAACCACTTCAAATATTGGAGCAGTTGCGAATGGCCACAGGCTACCCTAACTGCTGCTCTCCAAAACCCAACTACTTGTCTGACCCAGATTGCTCACCCCAGTCAGCATGCATCTGTGTGAGAGCGTATGGTGCTCCAAGACATGCACGAGCTGCCCAGCCAGTCTGCTGCACCAAGAAGGGCTTTCTCCGCCTTCCAGGCCAGACCAATGCGTGGAGTCTTGAGTTAGGGTGCTCTGGGCCCCCACCCCAAGCCTCTCCCCAGCCCGTGCTCAAGCTCTAGTAGAAGCCTTCCTCTCCAGTAGGGTCACCTACAGTTCTGTGTGAAAGGAGACCTTGAGCAGACAGGCCACCACTGGTCTCAGCCTTCACCAACCACAAGTGGTGCTGACCAAACCCACGGTAGTGGTCAGTGGGCACTGGGGATGGAAGGAACTCACAGAGTCTTGCTAAACCACCTTCTCTTGGCAAGTTCTCTATCTGCCACTAGCAATATTTTGACTGGAGCACACTTTACCTGTGTAGGGACAATGGCCTTACACCCAAGCTCTGAAGCCACCTCTCTCTTCATCCCTCCCTGCCCACTGGCCCGTGGATTCTCTTTAAAGAATGCTGCTTCCAGAATATACATTTTGGGTAGCTAAGCCCACAGGGTCCTGGTCAGGCCAGGCCACCCCACCGCCCTCCTCAACCAAAGGAGAGGAGAGGTCTCTTGGCCTTCTGGACCTGACCTGTCATCTGCCAGAGCTGTCTGGGGGAGTCAAGGCTCCTCCTCATCCCTGGGACCCCCTGCCTTGGGATCATGGCTGTCATCAACCAGCCTGTCCCAAGCCCCTTAGCTCAATATCAACCCCCAGCTTCCTGGGCCTCAGGTTCTCTCTGCCAGCCTGACATCTGCTTAGGGGACAGGGACTCAGACCTCCAGGGGCTGACCCTGGGGGACTCCCTTCATCCCTGCCCCCTTGGTGTGCCTGCCTGCCCCTCAGCACCCCTCACCCGCCACCCTGCCCACCCATCTGCAGGAGCGCGAGGTGGGCCCAGCCGATGAACAGTGCTCCAGCTTCCTCTACATACCCTTTCTCATTCCTCCACCAGGTGGGCACGCGTACTCCCCAGTTGATAAGAGGAAGCAGGGTCCGTATCTCTCGCGGGTGCCCGAACGCGTAAAGGGCAGGCCCTCATCGGGAGTGAGGGCCTGGTCTATGTGGGGGCAGTCTTCGTTCGCCAGCGCGGCCTTCGCCACCTCCCCATTCAGTTTGGAATCTTCAAACATATAAGCAGAAGCTATTGAGACACTGAAAACTGTTTAGTTGGTGTGGGGGATAGGCCAGAGGTGGGGCATTGGCAGAGGGCAGCCCATCCCTGAGGATGGAGAAGCAGGCATTGAGCAGGGCACGAGGCTGGGGATCTCAGCTCATTCAGGCAGCCTGGGGGCTGCCATGATGCTGGGAGGGAGGGACTTCTGGGTTTGCTCAAAGTTTGCAAAAAGATGAGTTGGTGATGGGCCCAGCAGGTGCAGTGCTGGGGGCTGGGCCCAGGGCCCAAAGGGGTCGATGACACAGGATGGTGTGGATGCAGTCATGGGGAGAGGGCCAGACACAGAGCTCAGGGGAAGACAGACAGACAAGCAGAAACACTCCAGTCCAGAGAGGCAGCCTTTTTGGACCTCTCTGCTGCTGACCAGAGCCTGTCACCCATCCACATCTGGCCAGTTGCTTAGGCTGCCCTAGCTCCATCCAGACTCATCCAATCAGCTCTGCTTCATTCCCTACTGGGATCCCATCTGATCACTTGATTCCTGCTGTCCCCCCCAATATCCTACCTGATCACTCAACCTGCTCCCCACCCATGCATACCCAAACTGGTCAGTCTGTGTGCCCCATCCCCCATGCAGACTAGACCTGGCCACCTAGTCTCCTCTGTCCCCATGCAGACCCAGTCCAGTCACTCTGTATGCCCTGTCCCCCCTGCAGACTAAACCCGGCCACCTAGTCTCCTCTGTCCCCATTTAGACCCAATCTGGTCACTCTGTATGCCCCATCCCCTATACAGATTAGGCCTGGCCATGCCGTCTCCTCTGTTTTCCACGCAGACCCAATCTGGTCACTCTGCATGCCCTGTACCCCTTACAGATTAGGCCTGGCCACACAGTCTCCTCTGTCCCCATGCAGACCCAGCTCGACCACTCCATCTGCTCCATCCCCACACAGATCTATGCCCAACACTCAGTCTGCCTGGATCCCCATGCATATCAAGCCAGTGTCTTCCACCTGTGCTGCCCAGCGGGTCTGGTCAGCTTGCACAGGCACAACAGGGATGTACGCATGAGGCCGTGACAGCGGGACATGGATGTGGGGGAGCTCCCATTCCTGTGTCTCCTCTTGTCAGTGTCCCCGGCAAAGCAGAGCAAATGATGTGTAGAAGACAACAGCAGCTGATGGACTTGGGTGGGGAAAATTCAAGTCTTGGCCTCTGTGGTAGCCTGGGAAGGAACCTGAGAGGAGTTCTGGGGCACATTTGGTAGGGGGCAAAGTGTAGCCAGAGCAAGGAGCTCTGTCTCTCCAGTTCCAGGAGCAGAGCCCTGGAAGCCTGTGGAGCTAGCAGAGGTAGCTCTGACTGGCCCTTGCCTCTGCCCTGTTACTCTTGGGGACTGAGCCTGCCCCACACTCTCTGCCCCCAAAGCAGACTCTTTCTGGCCACGGTGGAGCCTACTCAAACACTTCATCTGGGGCAAGAGCCTCAAGGGCAAGCCCTTTTGTGGAAGAAGGAAACCAACATGGGTGTGGCCACATTAAGGGAGGCTGTCTGAAAGACTCAGAGGGAAAATGCTGGAGACAGTTCCCACCCGATTTGACACTCTCTTGTGATCCTGTTCACATCATGTAACTACACGCAGAAGTGATCCTTCTCCACGTGCACATACTCAGCGTGCGCGTGGGTGGGACCACCCCCCGTGTACACATCATGTCACTACAAAGAGGCAGTCAGTCGAAAGAGAAATGGACCAATCAGGTTTATTCATAAAGCAAATCCAAAAAAAAATCCCATCATAATTTTGGAACTTAAAAAAAAATCTCTCGTACAAGATGGCAAAGCATTTCACGTACAGTGTGTTTCTTGACAAATCCCAGGGGCTTCACTCCTCCACTTACTCTGAACCAGAAAGGCCAGTTACCAAGGTAACTCTGACACCACGTGACTGGGGCTGGGGGCTCCCTGGGAGCTGGGGGCTGTCTAGCATGCGGGGGCGTGTCTGCAGGCACACACGTGTGTGCACACACACGCCCGGTCCTGCCTCCCAATCTGGTTGGCCCCTGTCTTCCTTCCCAAGGGTCTCTGGGCTGAGGGAGGAAAGCATCGGGAGAGCGGAGAGGAGCGGTCTGGAGGGGGAAGTGGATGAGGGTGTGCAGGTGGGGCCCATAGTACCCTGCTTGAATTTCCTTGAGGGGAAAATGCTGGGTCCTCCCAGGCAGCGTTTCCATCTAGGGGCAGTGAGGACCTGCTGTCTCTTTGTAGGCCATCATCTGTCAGTTCTTGGCCAGGGGATGGGTCAGAGCTGGGTGCCCCTCTCTGCCTCCACCTCCGTGGAGATGGTGCAGCCTGAGACCCCTCCTCTGGCTCTGTCCACCAGTCCCCCACTCCCCTGGGGCTCCCAGCTCCTACCACCTTTAAGAAGCCCAAAGTTGGGGCTGGTTTTCACTGCAGGGGTGGGGGCAAGGAACAGCCATCAGAGAGCCCGGGGAGGTGAGGGGGTGAGAGCTAGGTACCTTTCCCTCCGTGGGGGATTCACAGGACACCCCAGACCCTGCTTTTTCGCTCTACTTTGACCTTTGACGAGGGGACTGTGATTGGGTGGGGTGTTTAAGTCTTGCTCTGTGGATGAGCCCAGCCTCCCTGGGCTGTTGATTTGTCTGCAGTTTGGGATGCTCCCAGAAACTGGGAGTCTTCGCCCTCCCTAACTTCAGAGGGGTGGGCGGAAGAGAGAGACAAAGGAGGGGCCAACTGTCTAAATCTTGGGAACCCATGAAAAGGGCCACAGCTGCGAGCTCACCTAAGGCCCCCCATCCTCCTGCCCCTGCTCCACCCTTTGGATGAGATGGCAGCTTGGAGCCTTGGTTCCCGCCTGCTTTCCAGAAGCCTGGGGCCCCACCTCCCTTGGTCCAGGGCCCCCAGGCCCCCACTAGACCCACAGGCCTGCAATGATGAAATGGCAGCATGGGCAGCGTCTCAGAGATGGTTTCCAGGCTTTGAAATGGGCTGAGATGAGCATCCGTGAGGGGGTCATTTTTTTTTAAACTTTGGAGCAAGGAGAACCAGCGTCGCTGGGCCCTCAGCCAGCAAGACTGGCCTGTGTGCCCCGGTCTCCAGGTGCCACTGACGTACTTACTGTTCACACCAGCAGTGGGTACCGGGGGCACACGCAGGGCTGGGGTGGGGTGGGGGGTGGCCGGGCATTTCCTTGGGGTTAGCCCCGAAGGATCTGCCCAGCTGGGACTCAGGGGAAAACGTCCCGGGCTAAATGGGGACAGTCTGTGAGAGACACGAGCAGAGTACAATCACGAGAACCGGCACAAGTCATGCAACAAAGGAGGAAAGAGAGAGAGAGAGAGAAACATGATTAGTGGAGAGAGAGAAAAAGAATGTGAACAACATGGAAAAGAACACCCATGCCTGGCCCTCAGAGTCAGCTCACTTCTCTGCTACTTCCCCTGAGCTGTCCAGGGGCCACGAGGACCCCACGCAGGGCTCCAGCTGCCAACCCTGCCGCTGGACTGTGCGGAAACTCTTTCAGCCCCACCCCCGCCTGGCCAGCTCCGACCACAAGCCCGTCACCCTCCCTGCCCCGTGGGCTAGCACCACACCCTGGGCAGCCACTGCAGCCCAGCAGGGGAAGGGTAGAGGAGCCAGGGACAGGGCATTTGGGGCTCTGCTGCTTAGGGGAGAACTCCCCACCAAAGATGACCCAGAGTCTGCCATGGTAGCTCCCAGGGGATCCAGGCAGGAGCTTCTCTGCGACCTCACTGCTGCCGTACATGCCCATGGGCAGGAAGGGAGCCTGGCCACCACCCCTCCCCCCTTGCTCGCCTACTCACTCAGGACCCTGCAGCCCTGGGCAAGGCACCACAAAGGACCAACCCACATCACAGGAGCAGAGATGGACAAGACACACGTGAACGGACACAGCAGGACAGAGGAAGCACTCCGAGCTGTCCAGAGCAGCTGGTCTGGGCCCCAGCTGCAGACGGGGCAGGGAGGCCCTTTCTGGGAGAGGGGCAGCTTCTTGTGGGCCATCAGCCCTGACAGTCCCTGGCTGTGCAGGGCACCCTCCTGGCAGCCCCCTAAGAGGCCCTACAACCAGGTGAGAATTGGACTCTTGACAACCCCCCAGGATGAGACCCTAAACACGGAGGCCATGCCAGCCATGGCACAGAGGAGCAGACTAGATCACCCCTGGGACAGACACACAGACTGAGTTTTCAGGAGGGATCAAGACGTGGAAGTGAGGGAAGGGGCTGCCGTGCAACCGGGAGGCCTTGCTTCATTCCCAGGGCTCCAGCCTGGGGGTGTGATGCCCTCAGAGCCCAGCAGGCTGCACCTGGCCCTTCATCCAGGTGTGAAAAGTTGAATTGGAGAAGCCCAGGTTCTGGTCACCCTCAGGGGTGGAGTGAGGCTAGAAAGGCCTCGGGGGCCTGCATCTCACCCCCCACAATTCCTTAGGGCCTGCTTTCCACCCACCACATTGCCTCCCTTGCCTCGGGCCTCCCCCTCACTCTCTCACAAACTCACCCCCATCCCCGTGCCCATCTGGGTGCAAAGCCACAAGCAGGAAAGAAGGCGAGTGGGAAGGGACTCGGGTGCAGAGATGGGGGAGGACTCGCCTTGAGCCTCACACACCCCCTTGGTGGCAGATAATCCAGGTCTCACACACGGGTCTGGACGTCAGGACAGCACCAACACCACCAGGGGAAGCGAGTGCTTGCGGCAGGGAGTGGGGACACAGCATGGGGGGAGAAAGCAGGAGGATCCAGGAGGCATGCAGCCTTCAGAGGGCAAGTGTGGGCGGGCCCAAATACATCCTCAGCCATACAGACTGTCCAAGCCAGAGCCCTCTGCATCCCCAAAACCTGGAGCCAGGGCAAGGTGGCTCCCAAGAGCAGGGCTGCCAAGGCTAGGGAGGGGCGATGAAACAAGGGGAATCCCACAGGAGTGCATGGGTTTTACAGGGCTGCTGGAGCATGGGAAGAGGGCTTGTGTGTCTGGGACTAGCTGGTGTGCATGTCACACACACATCTGCACTCCTGCATGTGTGTGTGTGTGTGTGCATGCATGTCCTCAGCACATGGATAACACTGGCATGGTCTAGGAATACAGAGGAATCTATGCCTGCCTGGAGTGAACTGGGGATCCTTTACGGCCTGGCCTGGGGCACCCAGGCTTGGGGCACCCATCCTGAAAGGTCAGTGTGGAGGAGGACACAATGGAAGGGCCAAGCAGTGCCATGGCAATGCCACTCAGGCTGAGCTCCTGCTGCTGGGGCCCAAGGTGGAACCCTCCCCCAGAGCCCCAGGAACTGTCCTTGCCCTGGTGGTGGCTCCAGACGTCCCTGGCTAACTAATCCAAAGCACAGAGGTGGGGTGGAGGCTTTCCAAGGAGCAGGAGCCATGTCTTGGCCGGGCCCCCTAATTCAGCCTCTGAGACCCCTGTCCACCCTTGGCACAGCCCAGGACACTAGCCACATTCTTCTCAGGTGCCTCCAGGAATCCCAGGAAGGGAAGGGTATGGGACAGGGACAAGGGTCTGGATAGCCCCTATGGGCAGAGACGTGGGCCTTGGGGTTACTGCTGTGGCTGGCATGGCTGTGGAATGAAGCCAGACAGGATCAGGATGGGGTGGTGGGTCAGAGCGCATCAGTGGGGAAGGAAAGCAGTCATCCACTGGGAGAGGCCACCCAAACCAGGGGGAAACATCCTCACCTGGGGCTGAGCCAGCCTGCAGTCCCCCCTGCCAGACCTGGGCACGGGATGTCTTTCATAGAATAAATGCTACCTAATCTCTCCCATCAACCTCCTGCTCACCCTGGTACTCCTTCTGAGCTCAGTATTGTCTTTCTTCTCTGGGTCATCTGTTCCTTTGAAATCCCTGTGTCCACAGAATAAGTCGATGGTATTCCATGGGTAGAGGTAGACTATGGGCTTTATATCTTCAGACCAGAGCCCCATGATCAACTTTATGTGCTATGTGCAGTTCTCATAAAACTGAGATAGTCCCACAATGAACCACTAGCCATGGAATATTAGAATATATCCCACAGTGACTAGTATTGTTTCATAACCCCCCTCCCCCCGCCCCGACCCCAGTGAATTCAGGGGAAAGTGGTCATACACTGGTTGGGATGTCTTGTATTGCTGCTGCAGTCCCTACCGCCGGAAACGGGGAGAACCCTCGGTGGGAGGTTGTTGCTGGTCTGTAGTGCTTTCATCTAAGCTGCCCGGGGTGGTGGCCCCCTCTAGTCCTTTGCTCACCAGCAGCCACTTCCATCAGGAGGTCACTGGAAACTCCCACTCAACCATCAACCCAAACAGACAACATGAAAGCTAGAGTCACTCCAACAGGTTCCTAAAGATAAACGCTAAACTCTAGAGTGGTGGTAGAAGATGAGTTGGTTCGGCATGCTATGGGATAAGTAAGCTTGTCACGGAGGGCTAGAGGCGTCTCCCAAGCAGGACCTGGAGCTGGGCAGCCGGAATCAAAGCAGGAATTCTACTCAGCTATGGAGACAGGCTCTGTGGGGGGTGAGGATCCTTGCTACTGCCTTTGCAGGGACCCTCCTGCCAGATCCCATGCACCATTTCTGCCGTCTGCACAGCCTGAAGGGAGCTGTGTTAAGGACCAAATCAAAACCTGTCTGGCCCTTCCGAGTCCCCCCCGCCCCCACCCTGCCCCAACACTGGGTCGGTGGCCTGAGTCACAGACTCATGCCCTACTCCTGCCCACCCAAGCAGCAGCAGCCCCCTGGGCTCCTGCTAAGACAGTCCTCAGCCACCTGGCAGGCCATGTCCTCTCTTCAGAACATCACGAGACCAACCGTGTCAACTTCCTTACCCGGGGCCACCAGGGAGGTTCCTCTAGCAGGCTCTTGCCTTCTGCATTTGGCTGCCCAGCATCTCCCTGGGCCCCCAGGCTCCACACCTCCAGAGCGAGTGCGGGGTCCGGGGTCGCCCACGGAACTAAGGAAGCAGTCTGACTGGATCTGCAATCATCGCTACGGGGGCGGAAGTGAAAGGTCAGATCGACATGCCTCTAAGAGGTTTCCTACCTGCTCTGTTAATTTCTAAAATTTCTTCCTGGGCCAGCGGACATGTGTCACTCTGAGTACTGTGGTGTGGAGAGTTTACGACAGATTTACAATAATTGGGAGATCCCAGCTGCGGTGGCCGTGGAATATGCTTCTTTTTTTTCTTTGGTAGTTTCTGCTTAGCCATGGCTAAGGAGTAGTACATCCCGAAATTGTTCACGATGACGGGCACGGGCATGGCGATGGTCAGCACGCCCGCCAGCGCGCACAGCGCCCCCACCAGCATGCCGGACCACGTCTGCGGGTACATGTCTCCATAGCCCAGCGTCGTCATGGTGACCACGGCCCACCAGAAGCCGATGGGGATGTTCTTAAAGTGCGTGTGCTCGCTGGCGCTGGGGTCGTTGGGCTGCGCCCCTATCCTCTCGGCGTAGTAGATCATGGTGGCGAAGATGAGCACGCCCAGGGCCAGGAAGATGATGAGCAGCAGGAACTCGTTGGTGCTGGCGCGGAGCGTGTGGCCCAGGACCCGCAGGCCCACGAAGTGGCGGGTCAGCTTGAAGATGCGCAGGATACGCACGAAGCGGACGACGCGCAGGAAGCCCAGCACGTCCTTGGCCGCCTTGGACGACAGCCCGCTCAGGCCCACCTCCAGGTAGAAGGGGAGGATGGCCACGAAGTCGATGATGTTGAGCGAGTTCTTGACGAACTCCACCTTGTTGGGGCAGAAGACGACACGCATGAGGAACTCGAAGGTGAACCAGACCACGCAGACGCCCTCGATGTAGGTGAGGAAGGCCTCCGTCTCCGCTTCCCGGTAGTAGCGCACCTGCGTGCCGTTCCGAACGTTCTCGATCTCCGTCTTGTTCACGATGGGGTTGAAGCGCTCGTGGGTCTCCAGGCAAAAAGTGGTGATGGAGACCAGGATGAAGAAGAGGGAGGCAAAGGCCACATACTGTGGGGAGAAACACACAGAGTCAGAGGGGAGCCCCTCCCACCCAGAGGGGAGAAGCCCGGGGGGCCTTGTGTTGGGTCCAGTCAGAGGAAGACGCCTGCGCAAGGCCCCCTGCAAGGCGACCCAAGCTGACGGGCCACATCTCCCTCCTCAGGGCACAGGGACGTGCAGGGCAGTCAGGCGTGGCTTGTAAATCCCTCCTCCTCAACCTTCCATGTGCTCTCTCTTCCTACCGTTGCCAGCCACATGCCCGAGGGGCCACTAGAACCACCAGAGGGAAGGAGCCTGGGCCCCTGGAAAGAAAGCCATCCACTAAATGCCCTCATCGAACTGTTGCCTGAGGAGGAAATTAACTTCTATCATGTGAGGCCACTGCAGTTCAGAGGTGATTTGTTAAAGCATTGAGCGACCCTGACGCATAAACGTGACCACCCACAAGGATGATAACTATGTGGGGCAACGCATGTTTTAATTAGCTAGACTTAACCCTTCCACAATGTGTATGTATTTGAAAATATCATGTGGTACACAACAAATACATACAATGTTATATGTCAATTTAAAAAATAAATAAATTTTGGGGGGAAAAATATGCTCTAGACTGCTGGAGCTGAAGTTTCCAAAGAAATGAGAGGGGGCAGCCATAGCGGAATCAGGCCTCTCAAAGGCCACATCTCCCATCTTTCTTCCTTCCAACTCCAGTCTGTTCACTTCAAGGAGTGCCACGGTCCCACCTCCTATCAATGGCTGCCTCTAGCCTTTGCCTTAGTTTGCATTGATGCTCCTCCCCTACCCTGGGGGTGCCCTGGAAGTCCCAGAGCAGCCCTATCTGAACTGACCATGGCCTATGGGGCCTGACACCCACTCTGGCAGGGATCTGCAAACCGAGACCTATGTGGACCTTCCAAACCACATTCTGGGTTGAGGAAAGGGGAAGAGACAGAATCAGCATTTCAGAATGACAGAGTTAGGGCAGCCTTTAGAGATGATCTGGTCAAGATACCACATGCCACAGACGGGTAGTCTGAGGCCCAGAAATAGGGAGAGATCCGCCTAAACTACTCCTTACAGTACGTTCATAGTCCCATTGGTTTTAGAGCATTGTGCAATTTCCAAAAAATTTTCTCCTAGGCTGTGATTCTTATGCATCCTTCTATCCACCTCTCCCTCCTTTCTTTTACTCATCCATCCCCCTCCTCCCTTCTCTCCTGTCTTCCTTCCTCTCTCCCTCCGTTCCATCTACACATCCATTCGTATTCTTTCCTCCCTCCTTTCTTTGTTCCTTCCTCCCTTCCTTCCTTCTCTCCCTTTCTTCCATCATTCTTCTCTTCCCTCCCCTCATCTTTTTTTTCTCTTCCTCCTTCCTTTTCCCTTTTCCTTCCTTCTTTCTCTCCTTTCTTCCACCCATCCACCATTCATTCATGCATCT